AAAAGAATGAGCTGATAGTGAAATAAAGGATAAAGATATAAAGTGTGTGTGTGTGGAGAGATACAATGCCATAAAATCAAAGACTAATAATAAAAAAAGAATCTTGGATATTAGAATTGTCATATTTTCATTTGTCTTAGAGAAGACTTCTTGCAGATTTCACTGACAAACTGAAGGAAAATTCTTCCATAGAGCCTTTGGTTTAAAAACTTTGACATCATGTCAGCATATAAATGTTTTTTTCTTTTCAAGATGCTAGTCAGCATTTATTTTTTTTAATCACCCTAAGCAAGTTATTACAGCCACTAGAATGCAATGGTGGGGAGGAATTAGGAACAGAAAGATTAATAATGAGGAGAAAGAAAAAGGCAACCAAAAGGACAGTAGATAGTGATTGACATTGCATTTAAATTTTTGCAGATTAAAGTTGGTTGGAAAGCAAGGGTCCCCTGGAGGGAATTCCATAAATGAGAAGTGTGAGATGAGAAACTATTAGCATAGAAGTTACAGCTACATCTAGCTAGCTCAACTGTAAAATGATGAGATCTTACCACCAGTCTATTATTGCATTTAAATTCATATAGTCTAGGTACCATAGTGTAGAGCTCATCTGAACAATTACCATGAAAGTATTTATAAAAAAGGCAGAGAGAGGCAACTTTACAGCGGTGGGCAAGTGACTGAAGCTGAGCTGCGAGATCAGGACCAATAATATTACAGATTCTTCTTTGGATCTTATCAAGGAGCTCCAAGAAAATAGCAGCTGTACTGGAACATATATGACAGCAATATTTTAGGCATGAATGAATGGTAGATAGAGTCTGGAAAGAAAAATTGTGTTGCTCAACGCAGTAAACTGACTTTCTTAGCAGCTGATCTGGCAATGGATTCAATGTAGTCTTTCCACCATATGTCAGCTGAGAACATTAGCACGAGAAGGCAAATGAGTACCTTTCTTGGAGGATAGCATCAGCCATGCTGATGGAAGGCAAAAGGGGTCTCTCAGATAATTAATGGATATCAGTTTAGTTTCAGAGGTGTTAAATTTGACAAGCCATCTTTTTCCCCAATTAATGACAGTCTTGAGTTTGTATTGTACATCAGCTGCTATTTTGACCTTATCTGATCAGCCTTACTATCGAGGCAAGAGTAAATAGTAGTGTCGTTAGCGTAGATGCCAAGCTGAGAGTTGATATCATCAGGAAGGTTGTTAATGAAGATTAAAAACAGCATAGGACCAAGGTTAATATGAGAGGATGTAGACAAGTGGCCGTTCAGGACAACTTTCATTTATTGATTAGCTCAAAAACATGCCCAGAGCTTGTGGAGAATACCTGAATGCCAGACCCTGTCAGAGGCTTTTGAGATGTCCAATGTTACAGCCTGGGCGTCACTATTTTTATCTAAAGCAATAGACTCTTTCCACAATTATCATTAGTACATCAGCAGTTGATCTAGAGAAATTAATGCCATATTGCTTGTCTGGGAAAAGGCCCTGCGATGAGAGATGACTAACCAATTCAGCATTGATTAGGGCCTCTAGGAGTTTCCCAAACAGAAGCAGAAGGCTAATAGGCTATAGTTGGATAGGTCAGATGGCTCACCAGAGTTCTTAAAAACTGGAACAACAGATGATGACTTCCAGCAAGCAAGAAAGCAGGAGGTAGCAAGGTATTTATTATACAGTTTGGAGAGAACAGGAGCTATTTCGGGAGTACATTTCTTAATGACTATTACAAATCTTCAATATATGCCATGCTTGTCCACATGCTTTGTGGTGATCAAGGTTAGAGATGATAGCAGAAACTGTGGAAGGTGTTATATGTTCATATCATTCACCTGAGAATCAGTTCTAAGTGGGAAGTTAAGCAGGGATACTCCAGAGTAGAGTTTGAGAAGAATTTATGGGCAAAGCATTTAGTGTTATCAACAGAGGATGATAACACCTCAAATCGATTGAAGAGGTAGGGAATAGAGATCTTTCACTTTTTTAATACCCTATTACAGAGATGCCAGTAGTCACGAGAACCAAAGTTTTTAGAGGCTATGTAGTGCCTCATTCTCTCAGCAAGCATGGACTTAGCTTCTTTGAGAATTCACTTACATTTGTTACAAGCAGCAGCAAATAGGCACCTGTTATGACAAGAGCTGTCCTGCTGGTATAACTGGAAATAGTGGTTCCTGTGTGCTATGGCAGCTGAGCATGCTGCTGTTTCACCTGATATTTCCGAGAAGGGATGAAAGCGACCATGCTGGCTTTGAACCCTAAAGAAACCTCAGTAGCACATTTTTCTCTTGGGAGGTCCAAGAGGCATCATAAAGAAAATCCCGAAATGAATCCCAGTCAGCATGCTGGTACCGAAAGAGGATGGATGCTTGGAAGGAGATATCAATCATTACTACAGAGTGATCGAAGTTACCAAGAGGGCAGTATTGTGAAGCTTGACAAGAGCAGGGAGAGGAGATAAGAAATACATTCAATAGAGAAGCATGTTGCTCAGTTTGGCTAGGGAAACGAGTAGGGAAGTCCACGATTTGGGTGAGGGATTGGGCAATGGAAAAATTTAATGTCTGTATGCAGGCAACATCAGTACCTTTAAAATGTTTCAGCCATGTGTCGTGATGAGCATTAAAGTCCAAAAAGACAAAGATGTTCGCAAATGGATGGAGAGAAAGTGCCTTTTCTATACTGTTAGCAATTGTGTCTAATATACTGCAGTCTTGAGAAGAGGGGCGATAAAGGAAAAAGTGATAGCTGACAGAGTTTAGTAGTGAATGACGAAAGTATGTGAAAGAGTAGTCAGTGACCTCAAGAAACAATTACCTGGTCATCAAAAGATTATCCCAGATGTAAACACCAACGCCATGCACACGATTGCTGGAATCTTTTTGGCAAAGGGGAATATACCTTAGAACCAAGAATTCATTGGTCGCAACTGAGGGAATTCAAGTCGGTTTCACAAAGGGCAAAGATATCTGGCAACCATTCCAAGAGAAAGAATGTTACACTGCAGAAGCTGGAATGGATACCACGAATATTGGAGAAAGAAAGGTTGGGTGGGGGTTTGTTTATTCGTTCACTGGTTTAGTTTTATTTCTTTCATAGAGTTAAGTTTTTACACATCATACACATTAGACGTGGTTATTTTGTGACTTGGAGAACTTGCTCCACAGTGGGGGTAATAGAGAACCCCACTGGCTAGTTTAAAATGTACATGTTGAGGTGATTAATAAAATAAATAAGTTTAAAATTTCTTTTGTTGATGTTCTCAGATTCAGGGTTACCAGATTATGCGAGGTTAAAAATATACATTAATATATTATACTAGCCATTATCCATGGTTCAGGAGGAGTAACTCTTATTATCCTTTTGTATCCAAAATTGCAGTACAATAGCTAGGGAGGAGTAGATGCGATAGGCATCAATAAACTACAGAAGAACTCAAAATTGATCGTTGCATTAAGTATTGAATTAATGTTTGAATCTGCATATTTAACATAATTTATGTTCTGATTTTGTACCTAAAGCCAGTTCTTGGAAGAGAACCTTCCTTTTCCCCACCTCCTGTCTGGTCTCTGATCGCAGGCCAGACGAACGCTGCTTGTCTGAAAAGTACAAGAGACCCTAATAGTGTTCAATGGATAATGGCTACTCACTTTCATATGCCAATACGTGACTTAACCCCTAACGGTTTCTTTTTTCGCGCGTGTTGGAATATAACAACTTCACTTAGCTGTTTGCTTTCAGAGGAATCGGACGAATGACAGACGAAAGAATCCTGAACGGTATTCTCAAACCCAAGTCGTCGATACTCCTGTGGTTTATCTGCGTATGCTACTCGCCCTCGGCAAGGATTGAACGGCGTTAATCAAGGACTTATGCCAGGACATTAGCAATTCCACCCTTTTCGCTCGGAGAATTGAATGGACATCTTTTCTTTCGAACTTTATTTCTGAGAACAATTTGTAAGTCTTAGCATGTTTATATATATATTCTATAATCTGCTGTCACTATTTTTGTCTGTATTTCGTCGCATTGATATATGTTTGATCAACCAATTGTCGCCTCATCCTTTTTACTATTTAGTTTTCTTTTCTTTAATTTAATACACTGTATATTTTATAAATAAAGTATTTTTATTATATGTTCTCGTGTCGTCTTCTGTTGTTCTGTGTCTGCATATTGTTCGTTTTCTCACTGCGTTCACCGACGTTCGGAATTGGAGAATCCCCATCCCACCGTTCTTTTCATCCCATCAACCCTGGGATACTCTCATTTATTTTTTTATTTCCTCGTTGCATCCCGGCTATCGTAGTCCCAACGAAACCCTGGGCATAACAATATATGCACACCTACACATATACAGTAGGACTTCACAGTAGGATTTTAATTTAGTTCCCAAACTGAGTTCATATTGCAAATTACACGTATTACAAAGCATTTTTCCCACTTTTATTAATGGAAGATTAACTGATCTGTCTCAGTTCCTCCAAAGCATCCAAAATATCTATTTTAGAATGTAAAAAAAATATATAGAAAATATACAGTAAGAAATCACAAAAATACGTGTATTAAGAATATAATAAGACAGAATGAAAGAAATGAACAGCTTTTATTAAACTACAAACATTTCATAAGAAAGTTTCTGGCGTTTTCACTCAGAACTTAAGAACTTTTGTGGCATTTGATTCACTTTAGAAAGATCAACAGAAATCTGTTTCGTTCTTGATTTCAAAATGCCATGAAAATAGTCAACACAATTTTCGTTGAACAAAACAGCCGCACAACTTGCCTTAATTTTTGTGGGTTGCATTTTTTCCACAAAGTCGTGCACTTTTTCCATATCACCAGAACGTCTTTGAACTTACTCGTGGGGGCACCCTCCAACACACTTTTCTCCTTAGCTAGTTCATTTACCTCCTCCATGTTTTGATGCTCCTGGAGCAGCTGAAGATCCTCTGTCGTCAGCTCTTCTCTTTGGTCGTCGTCGAGTTTGTCAATGTCACCCGCATCAGCCTTGAGGCCTAAAGACTTGCCAAGAGACACTGTCTCCTCGTCTTCGGGTTCATCTGTGGCGAAATTCTTAAATTCCTTGTCAGAGACGCATTCATGCCACAGCTTCCTCCATGCAGAATTCAGGGTCCTCCTCGTCACATTATCGAGGTGAGTAGGGCCTTCATAGGAAGACCATTCTTTTTGAGGAACGTGTGAGTTGAGGGCCGAAAACGTCGTTGATCCATTCTACAAAAAATTGCCTTGTGATCCAGCCCTTCACATAACCTGCAGCTACTTCTTCTGGAACTTATGCACCTTGAACTCCGGGTATTCTATGAATGATAAGGTCACGACCCTTGTGTGCTAAAAATAGCAACGACATCCTTTCAAACTGACAGAAACACACAAAACTCAATTTTCGCCACTCAACAAAAATAAAAGACCTTTAATTTCGAACCGAAATTAATTTAAATACAGTCAACAAACACCGAACACACTTTTGACTGTAATTAATACGGCCCGAAATTAATTATATTCATTTACTTGTTTAGCGTCACCGCTTCTCTTGTATAAACCGTCATATCTAGATGCCCGAGACTTCGCAGCGGTTTTTAGCCGGCCAGGGAGCAGGAAGCCTTCCTGATTCGCGACTTTGACGCGCCCAGTCAAGTCGACCAAGCCCAGCATCTGACGGGACCCAGCAGCAGTAGCAGCAGTTGTTCAAACAGTCCTTTTCAGGGCTAACTTCCGAATGTCATTCGATCACCACTCTTCAAGGCTCCACTTACTCCACTCTTTGCTACTGCCTTCCCTCTGAGACGCCAGCTCACTCCTGCAGCTTTCAGCTCACTCCTGCAGCTTCCAGCACTCCTGCAGTTTCCAGCTCACTCCTGCAGTTTCCAGCTCACTCCTGCAGCTTCCAGCACTCCTACCGCTTCCGGCTCACTCCTGCAGCTTCCAGCACTCCTGCAGTTTCCAGCACTCCTGCAGTTTCCAGCTCACTCCTGCAGTTTCCAGCTCACTCCTGCAGCTTCCAGCACTCCTACCGCTTCCAGCTCACTCCTGCAGCTTCCAGCGCTCCTGCAGTCTCCAGCTCACCCCAACCTGTTCCAGCACCCGCTGACGATCTAATCCAGTGCCCACTGACGTCCAGCGCCCGTTAACGTCCGGACACCGTTCCCGAACAAACGACCTCTGTCGTCTTACCATCCACCGTTCTCAAATAAAGACACGACATCCTTCTTTGCTATTGCCATCTCCTTACCTTTGTGTCCCCTATTTTAGTTGTACGGTCGATTGGCACTCACACCTCTCGGCCCGCTGCAACAAGTGGTGACCCCGACGTGATTTATGGACACAGGCAAACGGCTAGCAGAGAAGATGGCGGAACACACCGAAACAGAAATCACCACATCAGCCGCCCTGATACAACTACCGCCATACAACTCGATCAACACCAGGCGATATTTTCAGCACGCCTCCGTGGTACAAGCCTTACCAGCATCAATCGTTGAAGAAGTGGAAGACATCCTTCTCAATACTCCGGACCAACTCCCATACACCTGCCTCAAAGAAGCCATCCTCAAACGAACTGGACGTTCGGACGAAGACCTCATCAGAGACTTATTCTCTAATGTGTCTCTCGGCGATATGACACCATCCCAGCTCCTCTGCCTGATGAAGAGCCGCCTCGGGAACAACACCATGGCAGAACCCATCCTCCGAGGGCTATGGATGGATCGGTTACCACCGATTATAACACAAGTTCTAGCCCTGGTACCAGTAGAAACGCCCCTTGACGTTGTGGCCGACTCAGCCGACAAAATATACTCCCAGGCTCACCAAAAAGTTCACCAGGTTGAGAGCCACGGAAACCACACACGCCTCGAAGAGGAGATGACCCAACTACGCGCAGAGTTGAGAGACCTGAAACTCACCCTATGCCGGAGGCAGCGAAGCCCAGCACCACGCACGCGAAATCGAAGCCGTACCCGCAGCTCAAGTCCAGGACGGAGAAACAGTGTGGACGAATGTTGGTACCACCAAACCTTCGGTGACCGAGCCCGCAAGTGCCACCCTCCCTGCAGACGAAATAAGACCCAGGGAAAACGAATAGACCGACAGGCAGCGACGACGATCCCTGTCGGTACTCGCTCACACAGTCGTCTCTTCTACGTGTGGGACCGTAACAATGGCCTCAAATTCCTAGTTGACACTGGCGCAGCCATCAGCGTAATACCACCCACCAACAGATCCGCCTTGAAACCCACCCCATTCCAACTTCGAGCGGCAAACGGCTCCGCCATAGAAACCTACGGGAACAAGGAACTTACTTTGAATATCAACCTCAGGCGCGACTTCAAGTGGTCATTCACCGTAGCTGACGTCAGGATACCCTTGCTCGGTGCCGACTTCTTGGCACATTACAACCTGGCTGTCCATATGAAGACGAGGACCCTGTCCGACAACACGACATCCATCAAGATCACAGGGATCCCTTCGAGTTTCAACACAACTAGGATCAGCGTGGCAACACAGCACGACCCACGCTACGTAGAAATCCTGCGCCGGTACAAGCACCTCACGCAACCCATCAAACCAACTGATGCAGGCGACCATCAGACCCAACACCATATAAAGACCACCGGACAACCAGCATATTCACGGCCACGACGACTCCCTCCACACAAATTAGCATATGCCAAGAAAGCGTTTGAGGAGTTGCTGGCCGACAATATCATCCGACCCTCAGACAGCCCATATGCTTCACCACTGCATCTGGTACCCAAATCCGACGGGGATTTCAGGATCTGTGTGGATTACCGGAAACTCAATGCATCCACAGTACCCGACCGGTATCCTGTTCCGCACATCCACGACTTTGCCTCAGGTTTACAGGGGGCCCGCATTTTCTCAAAAATTGACCTGACCAAAGCCTACTACCAAGTTCCAGTTGCTCCGGAGGACATCCCAAAGACAGCAGTCACAACCCCTTTTGGACTGTTTGAATTCCTAAAAATGCCCTTCGGATTGCGCAACGCAGCCCAGACGTTCCAGATGCTGATGGACGAAGTTCTGCGTGGACTACCATACGTCTACGCATACATTGATGACATCCTAGTGGCTAGCAGAGACGCTGATCTCCACAAACAACACCTGGAGGAAGTGTTACGCCGTCTAACACATTACGGCCTCCGAATCAACCCAGACAAGTGCGAATTCGGCGCACAACACATAGACTTCCTCGGACACCACACAGACGCTCAGGGAATCACCACACTCCCCGATAAGATAAAAGCCATACAGGATTTCCCGATGCCCACATCGATAAAGCAACTGCGACGCTTCTTGGGGATGGTAAATTTTGACCGCAGGTTTATCCCCGGATGCTCAAAACTCCTCACCCCACTGACAAATCTTCTCCAGAGAAAAAACAAAGCCATCACCCTGGAGGGCGACCAGGAAAAAATCATTCCAAGCAGCAAAAACATTTTAGCTAACTTTACGAAGTTAGCACATCTCAACGAAGACACCCGGACTCAGATATATCTAACAACAGATGCCTCAGACACTGGAGTTGGAGCTGTGGTAGAACAGGAGGTTGACGACCAACGCAAACCCATCGCATTCTTCTCGGCTAAATTATCACCAGCCCAGTCCAGATACAGCACCTTCTCGAAAGAACTTTTGGCTATATACCTCGCCATCAAACACTTCCGACATCTACTGGAAGGCCGGAATTTCACCGTTTTGACCGACCACAAACCCTTGACAACTTCCCTGTCGAACAATTCGGCCAAATATACGGCTCGCGAGATCAGGCATCTGGACTATATCTCACAGTTCACGTCCGATATTCGTTATGTCAAAGGAAAAGACAATTCTGTCGCCGATGCCCTATCCAGATTTGATGTCAACACTGTGCAAGACAGCCCACTCAGCCAGGACCTGATAGCAGAGGCCCATGAATCCGACGCAACCCTCCCTGAAGTCCTAGCCAACACATCCCTGCAACTGAAAGAATTTCCGGCACCCTTCAGCAACAAAATATTGTACTGCGATACAAAACTGGATCACCCCCAGACCCTACATACCTCCGGCACTCAGAAGGCAAATTTTCAACCACCTCCATGGGTTGTCACATCCCAGCAAGCGCGCTACGGTCAAACTCATTGCCGATCGTTTTTGCGTGGCCCAACATGAATACTGACATCCGTAATTGGGTATCAACGTGCCTTAAGTGCCAGAAATGCAAGGTACACCGGCACACAAAAAAATCCCGCCAGGCACATTCAGCAACCCTGACGCACGTTTCAGCCACATCCACATCGACATAGTGGGACCTCTCCCAATGTGCCAGAATTATGTAGCAAAGACCATCCTTCAGGAGTGGATCGCAATTTTTGGCGTACCCAGCATCATCACCACAGACCGCGGCGCGCAGTTTCAGTCCTCACTCTTTCAGGAATTCACTCAACTGCTCGGCGTCAAACACATCAAGACCACCGCCTACCATTCCTGTGCCAACGGCCTTGTGGAAAGGTTCCACCGAACACTAAAGGCCTCTCTAACTACAAACATCCCACCAGCAACTGGGTAGTCGAGCTACCCCTAATCCTTTTGTCAATCCGCAACACACTCAAAGAAGACTTAGAATGCACTCTAGCCGAAATAGTCTTCGGTACAGCACTCTCTTTACCCGGCCAATATTTCGACGACACCATACCCAACCTAACCACTGCAAGTCCTTTCACTCAGGAACTTCGCCATAAAATGGCCCAACTGAAGTATACACCACCCAGGCAATCATCACCAACTATCCACGTTCCACGACTGCGAGTTCATTTTTGTCCGAAATGACGCGGTAAAGAAACCACTAACACCAACATACCAGGGTCCATTCAAAGTCTTAAAACGCTCTGAGAAGCATCTCACCATTGACCGAGGAAGCCGGACGCACACCATCTCCATCGACAGAGTCAAACCAGCTTTTCTGGAAAAATCTCCACGGGAGACAGAACCCGTCTCAACACATCCAGAACCCTCACCTGCCTCAACAACCACGCAATCGCAACCGTCACAACCGAGGTCAGAGCCAACCCCAGAAGCACCCACAACTCCAACCAGGCAGACCCGCCTTGGAAGGAAAGTCACCTTCCCTAAGAAGTACAAGACATATATTTACTTGTAATTAATAATGATCAATTATCCTGGGAGAGGGCCTTGTCGCAGTGTGCCCAAACACCACTCCCACCTTTTCTTAAACAACCCCGGATATGCCTGCCGGTAGAGAAAGGTCACGACCCTTGTGTGCTAAAAATAGCAACGACATCCTTTCAAACTGACAGAAACACACAAAACTCAATTTTCGCCACTCAACAAAAATAAAAGACCTTTAATTTCGAACCGAAATTAATTTAAATACAGTCAACAAACACCGAACACACTTTTGACTGTAATTAATACGGCCCGAAATTAATTATATTCATTTACTTGTTTAGCGTCACCGCTTCTCTTGTATGAACCGTCATATCTAGATGCCCGAGACTTCGCAACGGTTTTTAGCCAGTCCAGCGCCCGTTAACGTCCGGACACCGTTCCCGAACAAACGACCTCTGTCGTCTTACCATCCACCGTTCGCAAATAAAGACACGATTTCCATCGTCTACAACGGACCATCTGCGTTTGTCATCCTTCTTTGCTATTGCCATCTCCTTGCCTTTGTGTCCCCTATTTTAGTTGTACGGTCGATTGGCACTCACACCTCTCGGCCCGCTGCAACACGTCCTCCTGAATATTTTATTCCTGAAGTGCCCAGTCTTATTGTAGTTGAACACTTGTTGAAATACATATCCATTGTCTACTATTTTATCAGAAGTGGCTGCTTACCTGTGTCTCACGACACTATGCACACCAGTTTCCTTCTTAAAAATGTCGAACCAGCCCTCTGGCCTTAAACTCTTCTGCTGGAGCCTCTTGCATTGATGGTCCCAAATCCATATAGTATTCGGGTTTTCTCAGCAACAATCGTTTCCGTTAGAGTATTGCTTGCGAGCTGCTTCTCGTCAATTCAAAGCAGAAGCAGCATTTCTCTCTCCTCATGGATATTCGTCATTTTTCTATTTTGTTTCGGGATAGTGCAGATCATTGACGTTGTTTGGTTTATCCTGCCAAGTCCACTACACATACTCCTCTCTCGTATTTTTCTATTATTTTTCTGCAATTCTAATGTAAATGCTTTTTCTTATTATTACCCCTATCTTTAATGCTTAATTTTTTTTAATCCAAAAAATGCATGTTTCGCAGAAAATTTTCTGGCGCAAAATGATCGGGATATTATCGCTATGAAATGAATACTTGATTTGACTGAGGCGGTGGTCGGTAACTAAAGGTAAAGGGAGGCAATCGATAGCGTTGATAGGTAACATTATCTATGATAAGTTCTTCGAAGAATTTCCTCCAATAAAATGAATAAATGTTCTGGATGTCAGGCGTTCACAGATGCGCCTCACCTTGCCTTTCACCGTGTTGTTTCTTAGAAATAGATGACATCAGCTGGCAATGATGAAAACAATGCCATTCTGAACATTTTGGCCGCAACTGTATATTTAAACATAGACTCACATACAAACAAATGTATGTTTATGTGAATATATATATATATATATATATATATATATATATATATATATATATATATATATATATATATATATCAACACTGCATAGTGATTATTATTTTCTTTTGAACTGACAAGGGCAGTTTCCTTCATTCCCATGTGTCACTACTGCTTTATCAGGCACTGTGAGTGTGTGTGTGTGTGTGTATATATATATATATATATTGAGGGATTAACAAAATTTGACTATGAAGGAAACTGGCCCTTCCCAGTTCTCTTGTTAGGGCTAATGCTCTTATTTTACTTATTTATTTATTATTTTAAATTTATTATTTTATTCATTTATATATTTTATTTATTTATTTGTTTCAGATATTTTGTCTTGTTTTTTGTCTTTTTGTTTTGGAATAAAGTTTATTAGAATATGGTTATTATATTCAGTATTCCTCATGAGTGTTAAATTCTCCAAACCTTCTTTTAACATTATGTGTCCCAAAGATTTTAACTATCACTTTTTGTTTGTTGGCAGTAGTTTCTTTGTAATTCCTATTCTCCTTAAACTTCCTTGTTACTCACTTTCTGCCCACAATATTAGAAACAACACAGTATCATCTGTGTAACATAAGTTGTTAATGTGTTCTCTATCTATAGACAATCTGTTTGTTCCCAATGGAGATTATAGATTTTTTACTTGCATATCTTTTCAAGTAAATCCAACTTTTCTAATATTTCATAGGTATAAATGTTTCCACATTTGTAACATTCTTATCAAAAAACACATTTCCGGTTCCATTGTCTTGAAGAAACAAACACTGTTCTTATCCTCTTTCTAGTCTAATTCTACTAAAAGCTCCATTAATTAGAATCCTAATTTTTAGTTTTGTTATATGGCCCATCAAACTGATTATCTAACAGAGTTTGCATTCATTTCTTTATGATATCTTTGACAGTGCTATGAAGATTGACCTTTGGGCATTTTGCCAATATCATAGATTTCATTTATCACTTTGGTAACCCTTGTTTTTTTTTTTTTTAATTCTGTGTCCTTCAGAATATCGGCAATCATGATTCACTACAGATTTCCTTATTATCTGTGAATTGTCATGACTTCTTGGTAAAGATAGTGGAGTGAATTTTTATTTTCTTTTTTACAATTTTGAACTAAGTAGAAAAGATAGGGATAGATATCATGTTGGTGAGAAACTAAAGTAAATATGCCAAGTCAGGATCGATTACATTGCAGATTCTTCTTTACATTGTGTAAAGAACCTCAAGATGAGTAGCAGGAACACCTGACCAAATATGGCAACAGTATTAAATGTACAGGTGAATGGTAAACTTGCAAATTAGCAAGATGTACTCTGACAAGAAAAACCTTCTGGCATGACACAGTGACCTAACTTTCATTGCGGTAAATACACCTATTGATTCAATGTAGGTATTCCACTGAGAATATGAAGCTGTGTTAGTTAAATGAGAGCAGTTTCATTTTTGAGGCATTGAAGTTTACAAGCTATTTCCTGCCCCAGTTAACCACTGATTGGAGGTCCATTTCAAGAGCAGTGGCCAAGTTGACTTTGTTAACTCTGACAGAGTAAATGGTAGTGTCATCAGCATAAATGCTTACTTGGGAACTGATGACATCTAGATCATTGATGAAGATTAGAAACAGCATAGGATCCAAGGGACACCCATGTTCATGTGGAAGTATCTGGAGTCAAACCCATTTAAAACATTTCATGATTTTATGTATTAAATCAAACACACATCCAGTAATGTGTAGCCCTGGAGCTTACATAGAAGACCAGTGTATGAGATATCTAGAGCCACAGCTCAAGCTTTGCTATTCTTATCAAGAGCTTGATATACATATTCTGTGAATCACATCAGTGGTAGATCTTGCAAAACTGAAGCTATATTGTTTTGAGATTAGGTCGCGAGAGATAAGATGCTTAACCATATCAGCATTGATTAAAGCTTTGAATACTTTGCCAAAAAGTGGTAGGAGACTAATAGGGTGATAGAGGAGTCAGAAGGTTCTTCACAGTTCTTAAAAACAGGAACTACAGAGGAAGACTTCTAACAAGAAGGAAAGCAGGAAGCAATAGTTGTAGAGTTTGGAGGGAACTGGAGGCAGTTCAGGTGCACTTTTCTTTAGGACAATGGTTGGGATCCTATCACATCTGCTTGCCTTATGGGAGTCTAAAAATAATATGATTCACTTGTGGATTGTAAATTTTAAATGTTTTTATGTTAAAAGTGAAAATGGAGGAAAATTATATATATTTTCATTATTTTCTTTTATTTCTGGAAAACAGCAAAAAGACTTTTGACATTTATGGAGATGGTGTCATAATAGAGAGTAATGTTCATAAGTGGTTCAGAAGTGAAAATATTGATTTGGAAGATTGAGAACAATCTAGCTGGCCTGCAGTTGTTGATAATGACCAAATCAAAATGCTGATTAAAAATAATCCAGTTCACATGACACCAAATATAGCAGAGATACTTCACATATTTTACATGAGTGTTGTAAGACATTTGAAAAAAATTGGATGTAAATTCTTGTAATGTTTGGGTGCGTCAAGATTTAACAATTAAAAATGACTAATCAGAAGAGGGTGTCATCTACCATCATGATAACACCAGACCTCATATATCTTTGCAGTCCCAGTAGAAATTGGTTCATCTTGGCTGGAATGTTCCACCCTACTCATCTGATATTGCACCTTCTGATTAGCAATTATTTCAATCCCTACAAAAATTATTTTCATAGGAAAACTTCAATTCTCTTGAAGTCTGTAAAAACCACTTAGACTACTTCATCACCCAGAATGGTGCCAAGTTCTGGGTAAATGTAATCATAAAACTGCCTTAAAGATGGTAAAAGATAGTGGAACAAAATGGCATATATGTGACTGAATAAATTTATGTACAAATAATTTGAATTTCATTTTAAAAAAATGTCCACCAAAATAACTGTTAGAATAATACATTAGACTACTACCATGCAATAGACTACCCATAATGCATCACTGACCTGTATATATAAAAAGTCAAGCAAAAATACAACACACATGGCCTGACAATTGCATTTAGCATGAAACAGACTGTTGCCACTGGGTGTTGACTTGAATGTCTACTTCTATATGTGTTATGGGATCTTACCCATAATAATAATAATGGACTATTCCATAGTTAATAAATACTGCGCCTCAGTCAGTAGGCGAGAGTCAGTCGTTCACCTCTGAACCGACTGCACGGTTAAACTCTCTTCCCCACGGGCGGGAGGAACCTGAAGGAGGCTACGCCGAAGGGCGGAGTCTCCTTCGGGAGGTAAAACCGGCCCCAGAACCCGTTTATACGGGTTCAAATGGGCTATTTTTTTGGCCAAGCCTAATGGCTCGAGAATGCCCACATTAAAAAGGCCTTGTGCCACGTGACACCCTCGTGGGGGGGTGACTGAATATCGTCAGTCGTTCAACTCTGAACCGACTGCACGGTTAAACTCTCTTCCTACGGGCGGGATGAACCCGAAGGAGGCTACGCCGAAGGGCGGAGGCTCCTTCGGGGAGGTAAAACAGACCCTGAACCCGTTTATATGGGTTCAAATGGGCTATTTTTTGGCCGAGCCTAATGGCTCGGGAATGCCCACGTTAAAAAGGCCTTGTGCCACATGACACCCTCGTGGGGGGGGGGTGACTGAATATTGTCAGTAGTTCAAGTTGAGTCAAGAATTGAGTCAGAGGCAGTCCAAGACAGAGTCGCATTCAGACAATTACTGCAAGACATTGGAATAGTGATACTGGTCAAGACTACATTGTTCTCTCTACTAAACCTGATTGTTCATACTAACACTTCTACTTCTCTGTATATATTCCTGTTTGTAATATATGTGTTATTCCATACCTGTGTTCGAGTTCTTTATTGGTTCTACCTTGGACTATCATCGTGGTACAAGGAACCGGACCATAACAATATGTGTGTGTGTGTGTGTGGAACCAACATGGAAACTCCTGCAATCAAAAATATCTGCATCCGCTAAACTGTAATAAAAAATTTAACAAGAATGGGAATATTAGCCAGAAGATTTTGTGGAATAAAATCATTTCATATCTGAAATATAACGGAATCTAATTCATATTGGAACACATAAGAAAAATATCATTTGCATTTATTGTGTTACATATAAGTAAATCCCAGTTCTGAAAAGGATATCTATATCTACAGATCTCAGACAGATTTTACCAATAGTAAATGTGATACTACACTGACAGTCATAGCTGAACAGATAAAATCACCATCTTTATGATGAGGCTTAAATATATGCATATTAA